CTCCCGTTTTCGTTCCCCAACAGATACTTTACTAGAACACCTACAAACGCAACTGAACTAAGGACTAATATCTGTTTGTTTTGTAAGCCAGGAATTTTTACTTTTTTTTATTTTCTTTGTATAGCTGATTAATTTATACGAGCGTTAGGAATAGGAATTAATTTTAGAATTGGAATAGGAATTAATTTTAGGCTAAGGCACATATATACTAAACAAGGGCAGAAAGACCGATTGGGTCGATAGCCTTTTTCTGTAGGAAATAAAGATTATTTATATATATAGAAAATATAGCCGATAATCCACTCGATCAATAAAAAATATCGCAGATTTTTCCCACCGGAAAGTGTTTTCGACATGCTTAGAGCATGACTTAAAATTAAAAGCTGAGAAACTTTGGCCGCTATACATTGCGGTTAAAGTAAAATTTTAATCCGATATGATGGGATCCGTCCGCATTTTTTATTGTTTATTGCATTATTGGAGGATAGCACGTTAAAACGTTGCGTGTGATCCTGTCCAAATCATTTAGATTTCGGAATGTTTTTTTCCAAATAAAAATTAAAACAAATTATTTTTTGCTAAACGATTCGTGCTAGGGATTTTTAGGACATGGGATCCGTCCGAATAATTGCATTTTTATTGTAGATTGTCATTTATTGTTTATGGCATTACTGGAGGATAGCGCGTTAACACGTCGCGTGTGATCCTGACCAAACCGTTTAAATTTCCGGCTGTTTATACTAGGGCTCGGAATCAAACTCGAATAATTCGAGTATTCGAGTAGTCGAATATTCAAAAAGCGAAAAATTATGTCTAGTCATAACTCGAATATTCGAATGTTCGAATACTTACTCGAATGTTCGAATAATCTAATACTCGAATACTTAAATAATCGAATACACCAACATTATTAAACTCACAAGGTGCAAATATCTTTATATGAACTTTGCATATTTTTATAAAATAAATTATTCATATTCTACAAGCATTTCCTTATTTTATAAGGAATGTGTTCAATTATTTATTTTGTGTTTTCGCATAAAATTAAGGCATAACGAAATTCGATGTACCACACATGCTATGATGCCATTTGAAAACTTAGAGGGGTGGCTGTGGTTAATCCTGTATATTTACATGGTTTTTGATCATCACATTGAAATCATGTACTTACAATTTCTTCACTAGTTGAATACTCTAATATTTGTTGAATACTCAAATACATACTCGGTTATTGGAATACCTGAATATTCAAGTACTCGAATTATAGTATTCGAATAATTTTACTATTCGAATAAACTGATAAACGAGTATTCCAATTTCAGATTTAAAAAAATTCCGGGCACTAGCTTTTATCAAATTTAAAAATGTAAACACTTTGTTTTTGCTAAAGGATTCGTGTTAGGGATGTTCAGGAGCTGGGATCCGTCCGAATAATTGCACTCTTTATTGTTCATTGCTATTTATTGTATTATTGGAGGATAGCACGTGAAAACGTTGCGTGTGACCCTGGCCAAACTGTTTAGATTTCGGGTTGTTTTTTTCAAATTTAAAAATTTTAAGAAATTCTTTGTTGCCACACGATTCGTGGTACGGAATTTCAGGGGCTGGGATCCGCCCGAATAATTGCAATTTTTTATTGTTTATTACAATTTATTGCATTATTGGAGGATAGCACGTTAAAACATTGCGTGTGATCCTGGCCAAACCATTTAGATTTCGGGCTGTTTTAAGATCTATTGTTTTTTCACTAATATTCTCTTTCGTAGCTACCTTATGAATAATTCAACGCCAATTTTTAAATTATTTTTAGTTTTTATTAAGCTGTTAGTTAGTTAAATGAATAGTTCAAGGCAGAAGCACTGCCTTGAACTATTCATATGTTGTTAAATCCATTACATATATCGTTCGCATGCTATTTTTCAGGTACACCAAGTCACTTTTTTCATGTTTCAGCTTTCGGTAAGTTTGGCATTACTTTTCCCCTGGTTAACATGTAGATGTAAAACTTTTAATCCCATATTGTTGAAACGACCACGGAGATTCTGGATTCTGGCTAGGGTTTTTTCATTTTCAAATTTTAAGTCAGATTTAATACGTTTGCAAATGAAGATTTTTTCAAAACACTTTTCTGTTCTTATATGAACTCTCACAATTTTTTTGTCGCATTAGGTAATCTTTGTTATTTTTTACTGGCTTTTCTTATTTTTTATTTATTTTTTATACCTTAATTCAAACGGTTTTTAGATAATCAATAATTCGGCTTGATTTTTCGAATTGAAAATTATTTTCACTCAGTGTTTCAACATTAACCAGCCACGTTTTCTACTGTAGAAGCTTTTTACTTGAAAATTTAAAATATAAATATAAAGCGAGTGTGTTCTGCTGTGAACTACACTTTTTAATCTCGTTTAAGAAAAAATGCGCTGTTATACATGTTTTTTTTTTCGCTCAGTTTTTCAACTTTAAATGGTCATGTTTTAAAAGAAGTAGGTATAAATCAACTCGAAAAGTTCGAAGAAGAACTCCAACCACATAAAGTGGGATGTCATTGGAATTTGCGAAAATCGTTTTCGCTACTTTGCACCTGGTTGCCTTTGCCTGGAGCTTTTAGTCCCATATTATTGACTTCTCTTTTTTGATATTGTTGCGTGTCATCTTTATTGGACGAGAAAAGACGACAAGGTTTGTGGATTCTGGATGATTGAATGTTTATTCTGTTATAAATAGCACTTTTTGTAGCATTGAAAAGCAATAATACCTTTGAATCCATATCAAAGGGTCGAAAGATATGTGGAACTTGTTTGTCACATTATGTTCCTATAGCGCTTTAAACGATTTCATTATTTCGAGTAAGCATTAGTAACTATTTTTATAAAATTTATATTTCTATAAAATTTTAAATGCCGGCGGCCCGCCTTTAAGAAATTCCGAGAAAACCACAGACCCGAATTTAATACGGCACTTCTACTGACAATATTTCACTCATATCTAAGCAAAAGATGATTTTGTCGGAGATTAGAATTTGAGAAAACTAATAATCCAAAAGCACCGCCTTTGGTACATATAAAGAACATCATAATACCTACTTTCGCTCAAATATTTAGCGCTTCAGCTCAATAAATGACGGAGCTATGAATTTTCAAAAAAACGCCCAGAAAATTTTGAAAGTTTCTCAGAAACTAATTATCTTATTGAGGAGTTCGACCTATCATTTTGTAGATATTTCTATTCTCTACAAATCATCTCGTTGGGGCATTCCGATTGCTCCATTGGTTTGAAAGTTATAAACATAAAAAATCAAAAAAAAATTAATCAATAAATTGTTAATAACTAACATATGGACCGGAAATGCGAGTGAAAAACACATATGTATTCATCTGCTCATTATCTTTTATATCATCGCACAATTGGCTTCCTATTCTTTTTTTTGTCACGCAAAAATGCTGCAGGTACAGCTTGCCCTACATGTTTGACATTTTTATACATTTTACGTACTGAAGAGCATAAATGTCAATTTTGAATCTTCCTGTACGTTAACAAGTATCTTATTAACTTTTGTGAAATGTCTGGCAGTTTAATAAAATTATTCAGAGGCCTTCCCTACACAGGGGCGGATCCAGCTTTAAGCAAAATTTTAATGTCAAACACTTAGGTTCAAGATTATGCCAAAATTTCATGTTTTCCGTCCCGTTTTGCATGTTTCTCGGAAGCAAAAGGAG